TTAGATATCTAATAAAGTTAGATAGCCTAACTTTACACAAACGAGATTGTTATTCTCCTCGATTTTCGCGTTGAACAGCGTTGACAAGATTGGACGAAATCGGCAAAATTGGACATATAGGCATATAGATAGATGATATAGATTCACTTTCAGCCATTGAAGTGCTTCAAACACCTTCAATTCCTCCAGAATCTGAGAAGAGACGGCAAAGAAGGGAAACTTTTGAAAGTCATCAATGATAGGCAAAATGGGATGATAGGCTTTGACGATAGACTGTGATGATAGGCTGTGACGATAGACTGTGATGATAGGCTGTGATGATAGGCTGTGATGATAAGCTTTGATGATAGGCTTTGATGATAGGCTATGACGATAGGCTGTAATGATAGGCTGTAATGATAGGCAAGTTCAGTCATTCGAACTGTTAAAATAGTTGTCTTTAACGCGAAGTCTTTGTGCAAAATCTCTACTGCCTCAAGCACTTGGTTATTTTTCCCGAAGTACCATCGAAAATGAGATCTCTCTCAATTGTGAGGACCCTTTCTCTTTCGGATTATCTCTCCTTCACATCTGCCTTCCCTATCCGCACCCAATTATTCGACTTAGCATCTTCAATCAGCTTCAACGGAAACCGATCCAGCTATTTCTTGATTGCTTCGGTGAGGGATCTTTAACAAATCCCAGAAAATCGATATGGATAAACATTTGGTCTTTCCTCATGTCGGTACATCTTTGGGGATCGCAGCGGGTGGTGGATTAGATTGTCTGTACAGGAGAAGGGGGGCCTTGATGGGGAAAATGATGGAGAGATTGAGAAGACATGCGCAATCGACAGGAAGCACTGGATAAGGAGGTAACGCGTGAATTTGGATAGAGTGGGAGAGTTGGATTTGAACTGGGGACATAAAGTGGTGGAAAAAAGAATTGCTATTAGCAATAATGCATATGGTGTCAGTTAAAGTTTGTTACAACAGTTTGTTACAACAGTTTATTGCAACAGTTTATTACAATAGTTTATTACAATAGTTTGTTACAACAGTTTATTGCAACAGTTTGTTACAACAGTTTATTGCAATAGTTTCTTCATAAGCCATTGTTTTTGACCAAAATAAGAGTCATTTTATTCTCAGGCTTCAATTTTAGAAGAAGATTTTGTTCAAAAGAGGGTGGAAACAAAAATTGCACCAAAATGAGAAGAAACTTTAGTATTTTCTTGGGTCTCTCCATGCATTTCTATGAGTCTCCTTGCATTTGTGCACCTTTTCAACATATTTACAACAACAAATTTGACTACTACTTTGACTTCAGCTTAACTTACTGTTTTTAACCTACTTAAGCTTCACTTATTGTTTTACTGAACTCTTTCAAAATTTGTCATATTTTTTTCCATATTATTTTTTTCCATATTATTTTTTCCCTACAAATTCTTCCATCCAATTTCATTTTATATCCCTGTTTCCTATTTATAAAAAGGCTAACGTTTCGTCTTTCTAAAACCACTACGTATCTCGTGCTAAACTCTTTATAAATCCGATAACACAGATGGGATCTCAAAAGAGATTGAGTGTTAAGTCGAGTTGGGAAAAAAAAAACGAAAGAACACTTGTCCCTTTTCCTCATCAAATAACCCTCAAATCAAAGCCCCCATCCGCTCCAATTAGCACACGTTTTTTGCTGCGATCATTCGATTTTCATTTTCGCCCAAAGGGAAGAGAAGCCTTTGTGCCGGTGACAAATCGCCGAACACCGTTCAAATTTCGTAAACTTTTTCTCAATGTAGCTCGTTTTTTTTTGAGTGAAATGTGGCCATTGGAGAGTGATTGAAGAGCTATTTCTTCGTCTTTGTGTGAGAGAAAAAGTTTTCGAGTGAAAAACAGAAGTTTGTTGAAAGTTTGTGGAAAAGCAAGAATTGAAATTTGTGGATTCATTTGAACTTTCATTTTGAAATGAAAAGTAAATTCTAAACGATTATCCTTATCAATTATAAAGTTACTTACCGTATTGTATGGGCCGTAGACGACCGCGCTCTTGACTGCGCCACGCCCAGTAATACAACAGTAACCTCATGTAGTCTATTTTTTATTTTATTATTTTTCAATTAAGTTTAATGAAAAAAAAATGTAAATGACACTACGGGGGGTCGAACCCTGATCGCGTGGGCTATAGCCAAGTGTGTTCCCGACTGCGCCACAGCGACATTTGCAACCCATCAAAAAAAACCCACTATTAACCCAAAACCTGATTTTTGATCTAGATCCATTCGTCAATTATCTTCAAAATCCAGCTAAGACCGAGTTTTTCTGGCTGAGCCAAGGTGTCGCCGTGGTGCAGTCGGGAGCGGGCTTGTCTAGAGCTCACACGGTCCGGGTTCGACCCTCCGGAGTGCCATTTAGATTTTTTTTTTCATTAAACTTTTTAATTAATTGAAAAAATAATAAAATAAAAAATAGACTACATGACGTTACTATTCTATTACTGGGATTACGGTAAGTAACTTTATAATTGATAAAGCTTGCCTAGAGCCCACATGTTGCGGGATCGACCCTCCGTAGTGCCACTCAATTCGACTTTTTTAGCGTTTTAGATTAAAATAGTCAACTATATTATGCTTTGAGACTTTTAAAAAAATCTCAGTCTTTTTGGCTTAAAGACGGCTGAGAAAAAGCTCGTATAGACAGTCGAACGGACGGACGGAGAGGACGGAGATCTTTTTATATAGACTATATCTAGTAGATTGTATATCGTAAATTTCAAAATAAATTTCAAAATATAAGTCTAACCTAGCAAATTGCTTTCCTGTATATCAATGGCGCTCAACAATTCTTTTCTCATTTTACGGTTGTCTGATTGTTCTTTCAAAGAGCAGGTAGTGGGGGGTTGATGGGTGATCGTAAAAGTGTTCCCGGAGGCGGTTTCTTGGATCTTCCCTCTTATCCCCCTTATCCAGGTTGATGTCCGTTTTATGGTCGAACTGACACCCGCAAAAATCCTGATGTAGGGATCACCAATTGTTAGGAGAAGTAAATTGAAGCTTTTGCTTCGGTGAAAAAGACAAAGACACAGGGAAAGATCTAGGAAAATCGGTTTTCGAAAAAAAAAATCACTTTAAAAAGGTTCATTTTGGTGTACTTATAGGCATTTGGAGTCAAATTTGATCAAAATTTGATCAAATTTTGAGCTGAATTTATTTAGAATGAGTTTATTTGCATCTAAAAGAATCTAAAAGAGGCTAAAAGAGGCTAAAGGAAAGCTTAGTTAGCTCTAAAGAGCTTATTTAGATCTAAAGAGCTTAGATCTAAAGAGCTTATCTACATCTAAAGAGCTTATTTACATCTACAAGTCCGAAAATCTTATCAAGTATTTAAAATCTTTATCCCGGTTTTCGGGGGTGGGACAAATGCGACCTTTTTTTTGCGCACCTGGACATTTGCGCACCTTTTTTTTGCTGGAAAAGGCCTTAGGAAAGGCCGTAGAGCCTCGAAAATGTTTTCATAGAAGGGAATCGTATGCGTTTTTACATGAAAACATTTTTGAAGCTCTACGACCTTTCCTAAGGCCTTTTCCAGCAAAAAAAAGATGCGCAAATGTCCAGGTGCGCAAAAAAAAGGTCGCATTTGTCCCACCCCCCGGTTTTCTTGAAGTTTCAATTGTTTACCAATTGCGAAACTGACGCTTAACTTCAAGATCTTCATTCTGATTCTGCTATTAAGAATGCTGCTGCTTTTGATTCGGATTTCTGACTCTGCTAATAAGCTTTGCCCTCGCAGTAGCACAAAAGTGCAGTATCTCTGATTGTACAACGAATAGGGCAACGGAAAAAGAGAAAAAGAGAAAAAGAGAAAAAGAGAAAAGAGAAAAAGAGAAAAAGAGAAAAAGAGAAAAAGAGAAAAAGAGAAAAAGAGAGAAAAGAGAAAACAACTGGCGGTGAATCTCTTCAGCCAGGCGACCCCGATGATGTAATCCCGATCCATGATAGGACCGCATAGAGAAAAAAGCGGAAACTTAAAAGAACCCAATCTCTTTTTTTTTTGATCTCATCCAGATCACATTTCCGGCTTCTGTGCTTTGAGCGCCGAAAGTTTTCTAGATAAACTGTGTCAAAGGATTAGCAATTTGAGAAGAGTAAACTTAAGAAAAAGGATAAACTATGGGGAGATTGTTTGGCGATCACGGAGGAATAGAAAAGTTTGCCTCTTGCGTAGTTTCCGGGTCTTTTGAACAGGTCGTCACACTTTGAAAGCCTATAACTTTGTGTAGAGATCATATTTTTCTTAACCTTTTATATCATTGGATAGAAAACGTTTCAGGCTTTTAAATGATACCAAAGAGAGCTTGATTCGCTTTTTCAGTCCAAGAAAACCAGGCGACACAACATAGGGAAAGAATAGGGGTATTTTGAACGGGTCGTCACACTTTGAAGCCCCATAACTTCATCTAGAGACAATATTTTTACTAACTTTTTATATCATTGTACAGAGCACATTACAGGCTTTTAAATAATACCAAATAAAGCTTGATTGGATTTTTCATTCCCATGTAAACAAGGCGACAAGACATCCGAGCTGGATAGGCCTCATTTGCTCAGAGCTGGCTCTGTTTTTCTTTGACTGGATTATTCAATCAAGCTTTATTTGGTATCATTTGAAAGCCTGTAATGTGCTCTGTACAATGATATAAAAAGTTAGTAAAAATATTGTCTCTAGATGAAGTTATGGGGCTTCAAAGTGTGACGACCTGTTCAAAATACCCCTATTCTTTCCCTATGTTGTGTCGCCTGGTTTTCTTGGACTGAAAAAGCGAATCAAGCTCTCTTTGGTATCATTTAAAAGCCTGAAACGTTTTCTATCCAATGATATAAAAGGTTAAGAAAAATATGATCTCTACACAAAGTTATAGGCTTTCAAAGCGTGACGACGCGTTCAACTTCTTTCTCACACTTGCTTTACTTTTCCTTGTATTAAAAATCTAATAAAACTTGTAATCAAGGAAATCAATTCCAGAAATCAAATGCCGGAAACAACGTGGAATGAGGTGACAATCGAGAAGAGTCCAGCCTATTTTGTGAGCAAGAGCGCTCCGGAGCGTATCCGACAAATGAATCCAAAGATGAAGTTGATCGTCGTTGTTAGAGATCCAGTCACAAGAGCGATATCAGGTCTAAAAACGAAAATCAATATAAAAGGAAATATCTATTTTAGATTATACACAAGCTTCGCTGAAAAAGAAACGCCTCGGGATGATGCCGAGTTTCGAGCGAATGGCTGTGGGTGATTGCTCGGGATGGCTGAAGACGAATTGTACAGGTTTGAAGTTGAAAAGTTTTAAAACACAAATGCTCATAGACTAACAATCACAATTATGCACTCACAACAATCACATTCAAGGTTTTATGAGTAAATAGACTTTAGCTTAGCTTAGCTTGAGCTTAGCTTGAGCTTAGCTTGAGCTTAGCTTGAGCTTAGCAGCTTGAGCTTAGCTTGAGCTTAGCTTGAGCTTAGCTTGAGCTTGAGCTTGAGCTTAGCTTGAGCTTAGCTTGAGCTTAGCTTGAGCTTAGCTTGAGCTTAGCTTAGCTTGAGCTTAGCTTGAGCTTAGCTTGAGCTTAGCTTAGCTTGAGCTTAGCTTGAGCTTAGCTTAGCTTGAGCTTAGCTTGAGCTTAAGCTAGCTTGAGCTTAGCTTAGCTTGAGTTTAGCTTGAGCTTAGCTTGAGCTTGAGCTTAGCTTGAGCTTAGCTTAGCTTGAGCTTAGCTTAGCTTCAGCTTAGCTTAGCTTCAGCTTAGCTTGAGAATCAAAGCCTCACATTTTCTCAATCTTTATACTTCTAGTAAAAGTTTTTCTAGCAAAAACGAGAGGCGTGAATGCAAATTGGGGAGCGATTCGATTAGGAATCTATCATCGACATATGCGCCATTGGTTAAATCATTTCCCGTTGGATCAAATACATTTCGTTGACGGTGAGAGGTTGATTCGAGATCCTGCCTCGGAAGTCGCGTCAACCGAACGATTCTTAGGACTTGAACCAAGTAGGTTTAGGAGGTGATCACGACTTCATACAATCCATTTATTCACATGAATTCATTCACACAATGTAGAGCACAACCCTTAAGACCTAAATACACAAGCACAACCCTTAAGGCCTAAACGGAAGAAAAACCTTTGGAGAAAGAACCCTAGTAAAAAACAAGAAGTACTTTTACTTCGTGGCGTGAGGCGTGAACGCAAATTCGGGAGCTTCGCAAATTGGGGAACTAGATTAGGAATCTCAGGGTTAAATCCCGCCGGCAATAACCATGCCAGGATTGAACCCTGACTAAGATAAAGACTAGGATAAGACAAGGCTACAAGGCTCTTAGTCAGTCGGCTATGGCGGCTGATTCAGAACAGTATTTAAAGCTGTTTTTTTTGATCTAACAAATTTCTTTTAGTGGTACACGATGCCGATTTCGCAGTTGATCCGATTAAGGGTTTTCCATGCGTTCGACGAAATGATCAAACTCTTCACTGTCTTGGGAAAAGCAAAGGAAGAAAGCATCCAAATGTTGATCGAAAGGTGAGTGCTAGAGATTTTATTAGGAAACCAGCTGGAAACCAGCTGAAAAACCCGGGTTTTTCTGGGTTTTTCTGGGTTTTTCTGGGTTTTTCTGGGTTTTTCTGGCCGGGTGCTCAGCTCGGCGTGGCTCAGTCAGGAGCGCGGTCTTCTACGGCCCCTACAATCCGGGTTCGATCCCCGTAGTGCCACTCAATTTCAGTTTTTCTTTGAGCCAAAGAGAGCTGAGAAAAAGCCCATACAAACGGACAGACGGACACTGCTTTTTAGTAGATACGAAAACAAGACTCTTAACTTCTAACTGACTTTGCATTGCTTACAAATAGAAACACATCCCTTCTGGCACACTGATCAAGCACAAAGAACTAAGAATCATTTAATTTATCATTTCCCAACTCTTCTTTCAGGTTCTGGAGAAATTAGAGCGATTTTATCAACCGGAAAACGAGATCTTCTTCCGTTTAATCAACAAGCACTTTTCTTGGTGAAATTACAGCAAATTTTCCCTTATCTAGTCCCACTTTGATAGTCCATTTAGGCTTTCTTTAAGTGTTAACAGACAGTCTGTGCACTTTGTGCTAACAGACAGTCTGTGCACACGTTTTCTGGCGCACCGATTGCTCTTTAAATAGAAGTGCAAAAGAAATGCAAGAGAAGTGCAAAAGCAGAGCAAAAGAAGTGCAAAAGAAGAAGTGCTTTTTCTAAGGCTTAAAGCTTAAAGTACACTCTGAAAAGTCGAATCTCAATAGTTCATTTATTGTCGATACTTTTATCCGGTTTTTCTTTCTCTTTTTGCCAAATTTTCGAAATGTAAATGTGCTAGTCGTTTTCTTTTTTTTTTTTGTTTGTTTGTTTCGTCTTTTATTTCTGTTTCTTCCTCACTTTACGTGGTTTTATTTGGTGCCTATTACTTGCTTTGTGTTTCGAGAAAAAAAACTCTTTATTTTTATTTATTTCGTGAAGATCTCTATGTGAATCTTGTGTGCAAAGAAATGAAAAGTCGAAAAATTTCATTTGAAAGATTCAATACATCAAAAAAAGTCATCAAAAAGGAAAGCATAAAAGCGAGAAAAAAAATGTGATCAAAATTGCACAAGTTGCCATTAAAATATGGGAAATTACAGGGAAATCAACCTTTTTGTACAGAGGTTTTGCTTAGAAAAGGTAGAGCGTTTGTCATGGGCGCTACAAACTACAAGATTAGACGATAAACGACAAGATTAGACTATAAACTACAAGGCTAGACGATAAACGACAAGATTAGACTATAAACTCCAAGATTAGACTATAAACTACAAGATTAGGCGAGAAACTACAAGATTAGACTATAAACTACAAGATCAGACTATAAACTACAAAATCAGGCTATAAACTACAAGATTAGACGATAACCGACAAGATTAGACTATAAACTACAAGATTAGACTATAAACTACAAGAACAGACTATAAACTACAAAAATCAGGCTATAAACTACAAGATTAGACTATAAACTACAAGATTCGACTATAAACTACAAGATTAGACTATAAACTACAAGAATAGACGATAAACTACAAGATCAGACTACAAACACTTGTAGAAACACATAGAATAGAGATTTTTCAAAAATTTTTTTACCAAAAAATCACACCAACTTTAGGCTTTCGAATGACACCAAAATCAGGCCAAATCATGTTCTCCGCGCTGAGATATAACGTTCTTTTCCAGACTTGTAGCCTCCTCCCATGGAAACGAGACTACAAAAGGCTATAAATGACTCGTTCTCGGTGTGAAAACGATGAATTGACTAGATTTTGGTGTCATTTAAAAGCCTAAAGTTCGCCTAATTCTTGGGTGAAAAAAGTTTTCAAAAAAACCCATTCTGAGCGTTTCTACAAGGGTTTGTAGTCTGGCTTTGTTTGTAGTTTGTAGTTTGTAGCGTTCATGTCGACTTGTTAGCGTTTACTTTGTGCTCGAATTTGTAAACACTCTGGCAAACTGAATTCTTCGTTTTCTTGCGGAAACGATTTGTTTTAATGAGATGAGTAAAGATTTCAGTGCACCAGAAGGAATGGGTTTCCATTTTTAAGCTCAAAATACATTGAAAACAAACAAACCATAGGTTTCAGAGTAAAATGGAGATTTTGAATGTCAAATGATTGCAATAATAATCAGTTTTAGGAGCTAGGAGCTATTGGGAGCTAGAAAAATGAATAGAATAAAGTAGAATAAAGTAGAATAAAGATTGTGCATTTAAAAGTACATCAGTGACAAGCTTTCAAGAACAATTCATTCGAAATTTGCAATTTTCGACCCAAAGCCCTTTTCCTTGCCCTTAGCCCTTTAAGCCCTTTAAGCTCCTATTTAGTTCCTTTAAGCCCTTTAAGCTCCTTTAAGCTCCTATTTGTTCCTTTAGCCCTTTAAGCTCCTATTTAGTTCCTTTAGCTCCTATTTTTTCCTTTAGCTCCTTTAGCCCTTTATGGTGAATGTAGAATAAGTTGTGTATTTAAGTCTCGTGACAGCTTTCAAGAACAATTCATTCGAAATTTGCAATTTTCGACTTTCAGCTTTCGACTTTCAACTTTCAAACGACCGTCTCATATGGACTGATCGATATCAGATTCACTTGCGAGGAACTTATTGACTTTTGAAGCACCAAATTATTCGGTTTCACTGGATATCGATTCACGTTGATTGGAGGACGAGTTTTCTTTGGCGTTGCATAGATGTGATCCTCGTGTGTTTGCGAGCGGACACTCCATTGGAGTTGTTTCTGAAATTTGTGTTTCTGAAAGAATCTAAGCTTTAAATATAAATCTTTTTAAAGCTTACAGGTAAATTGTAGTGCTTTTCATTGTTATTCGCATCGAGTTCTTCTTTAGGAGTTTGCAGTAATTCTCTCGATTCCCGAATAGAGTGTGAAGCCTCTTTGGAAACAACAGTGCTAAAATGTGAGCAGTAATTGGTACAGAATTCTGAGCAGTACAGAATTTCACCGATTGCTTGCTTGGTTTTATACCAAAGTTGTTCAAGAACTAATTTTGTCTAGTTGTTCAGCTAATTTTGTCTAGCTGTTCAGCTAATTTTTTCCAGGCTAGCTTAGTCAGCGATAGAGGTATGTCCTGACCTCTTATATTGAATAGTTACAATATAAAGTATTACATTTAAAGCAAAAAAAAACCAAAAACCAAGAGCGGTAATTGGTAATTGGTACAGAATTCCTAGGGTAATTGGTACAGAATTCCAGAATTCCTGATCTTCCTAGCGAGAGCCCGTTTCACTAACCATTAGGCCACCAGTACCCCGCTCCCAGCGATCGAAAAACGCCGTTTAAGAAGCTCTTTACAACGATTTCTATTTCCTTTCATGGTGGTTCAGTGGCTCGCCTGCCACGCGGGCGATCTGGGTTCGATTCCCGACGATTCGATTCGGTTCATAAAGTCAGATTTGATCCAGGCTTAGAATAGGATTTGATTAGAAAATCTCTGCTTTGTATCAAGTCTAGTATCTAGTAGAGTGTTAGAAAAACTACAGCAACTATGGCAGAATTGAAAGCAACATTATCAACCAAAATCCCAAACATTTACCCCAAAATATGCACAATCGGTTCAGTCGTGTTGATCAAGAGAGCTCTCAAATTTCTCAGAGTTTCTTTCATCGGCAGAGCATTCGTTTGTGCACATCCACCAATCGGTAGCACTGATTCATTGTTCACCATAAAGTAGTCAACGTTTTCTAGCTGGAATTTTGAGCCTTTGACGTTGACGCCTTTGACGCTAAAAGCCTTTGACGTTAAAAAGGAAACAATACTTGTGTCTGAAAGCCGAGTAGTTCGAGGGCTTTCATCGCTAAGATCGGTTTCCGATTCTTCGAGAAAGTGATCACTGGGGTTACCTGAAAAAATTAAAGTAAAGAAATGAATAGGAAAGAATTTGGGACCGAGGGGATTCAACCCTCGACCTTATCTTACCGCTTACCAAACAGATGCTCTACCATTGAGCTATTGGTGCCTTCTTAGCCCAAGAAGAAATAAGAAAGACAAAGAAGAAAGAAAGGAAGAAAAGAAGAAAAGAAGAAAGAAGGAAAGAAAGGAAGAAAAGAAGAAAGAAGGAAAGAAAAGGAAGAAATAAAGGAAGAAAGAAAGAGGAAAGTAAGAAAAAAAGAAGAAAGGAAAAAAGAAAGGAAGAAAGGAAGAAAGTAACAAAGAAAGAGAGTAAAATCAGTAAAGTTTTAAATTTAGATCAATTTCACTTCAATTTACTTTACTTTAATATGTAGAGCATCTAAATCTTCCAATAACTCCTTCAATTCGATCATGAATTCTTTAGTGACCGATGGCTGTTGAGCTGAGATCACCAACCAGATCTGGAAAATCGATTGAGCTTGGTAATTGAAATTTTAGGCTAGCTAGGGTAGGCTAGCTAGGGTAGGCTAGCTAGGGTAGGCTAGCTAGGGTAGGCTAGCTAGGGTAGGCTAGCTAGGGTAGGCTAGCTAGGGTAGGCTAGCTAGGGTAGGCTAGCTAGGGTAGGCTAGCTAGGGTAGGCTAGCTAGGGTAGGCTAGCTAGGGTAGGCTAGCTAGGGTAGGCTAGCTAGGGTAGGCTAGTTTACGCAGCTTTTTTTGCGCAACAGGGTCGTTTGCGCAACTCGCCATAACTTTCTTCTCAGTGGGCCAATCTTTCTGCTCTTTGTGCCATTTTGTAGATCTCAATAAGTGCAACAAAATGAAACCAAAGTCATAAAGATTGGCTGAGTTAGAAGAAAGGTATGGCAAGTAGCGCAAATGACCCAGTTGCGCAAATGATCCAGTTGCGCAAAACAAGTTGCGCAAACTAGTCTACCCCAAATTTTCAAATAAAAAGTAATACTTCAATATGATAAATGAAATGAAAAGATTAAAATAAGAAAAATCTGGCTCGATTTTAATCTACCTTAATTTGCAGAGCATTTAAATCTTCGAAATCTAAATCATTTGAAAAGTCAAATAAATTGTAATACCTCAATATCTTTGCATGGATGATCATAACTCGATGCATACCATTTTTTGATTTTTGTACATGAAACCTCTTTGTGATCTGAATAAGGGGAAATTCTCTAGAATTTCTAGAATTCAAGGTGCATTTCGATCTAATCCTGACAAATTTTGTGAATTTTAGTTGAATGTCAAGATTCCGGTATCATTATGGATCTTATCTATGGTATCTATCTAGATCTTATCTATCTTATCTATATTTTATCTATAGTATTTTAGAATCAAATCCATAATAGAATAAAATAGTGAATTGTTTAAGTCAAAATCCAACTTTTTTGGTGTTCTCCAAGTGGAGGAGTGTCGACTAAAGCCAATGAAGTTGGGACTCGAGTTCCGTGAAAAACATAAGTATGCACAGACGTTGTTGGCTCCATTGAGAGCCCACCTGGAAACCGAATTCTTTTTTTAATGCACTTTTCCCTTGACGAAATATTGGGTTGGTGAATTGAAAACTGCCGGACTTTGAACTAAAAT